AGTAAAAGCTACACACAAAGCCCTAAAACACTACCAACCAGACACCGGGAAGAACCCACACAAATTCCAAACCAACACGTTACACTACATCTACAACTTGGCATTACGACCACAAAGTTCAACACAATGACCACTGACAACGCACGATCCGCCACTAAGACCTCTCCACGAAGCTACCCACGGCCATAAGAAAAGACGACAGGGCACCGTTCTCTGCGTCCAAACCAGACCTCGACTTGGGATGGTTCGCGAGACGGGCTGACTCTGAAACTCTGTAACTGGGGGACGCTACTCAAAACCGGTAGCAAACCCATCATATTACCACGCGGACGGTCTCACGACATGGCTCAGAGTACATATCCGACGCCACATACATCAGTACTGCTCCACGCAGAACAGTGAACATAGACTCGACGCAACCAATGTGCGTCAATTGGAAAGCACCGTGAAACCTGTCTTATACATACAGAGAGTATTGTATTTTACCCTATTGTGATGCACTGTTGTGTTCCTTGTTTTTTTTTTTTATGTTCTTTGTAATTTTTGTATTTTTTGTACGGGCAAAACTGCCCCTAAATATAAACTCCGACACAGAGCGGCTAAAATCAAAGTCGTCTAACCTACTAAACATTTAACCACTGTTGTAAACCATGGAAAATATCTTGTAATCGGCCCCTGCGCGAGCCACTGTATTTTGCTATGCCGCATTTTGTGGCGAATTAAAAATAAAGAAATTAAAAAAAAAAATAAAGCTTAAGTGCTGAAAGATTTTTCAAAAAGCCCTTTTCTTATTTTTTTTTTTATATTTATCTCTCCCAGTAGTAGATGGTTACCTAATTTGGTATTCTTAAATATGCAAATACTATGTAATTGTGTTAAATTAAGGAGTTATCTACTAAACAGAAGGAGGGGGGTCACAACTAAGCACAGCCCTTTTCTTTTATTCTTGAAAGAATTTCAATACTTTTAATTTTATTAGTATACAAATTGCAGCATCAGACAAAATTCATTGAGAGAGTATTGACAGTTATCCTGAGACTCCATTTTATTTAACATAGACAAAAATGATCACTATCACTCGGGGGCAGTAAGTGGCATTCTAAATGCCTATGGAGCTTTGTGATTTATTTATTTTTGTATTTGTTTGCACCAGATATGAGGGAGTTATACCATAAATACTTTGACATATCAGTAGTTCAGATGGTGTGGCAAAGTTGCTTGAATAAAGTAGGAGACCCCCATTTGATCATCTGAGAGATATACAGGGTGGCTCAAAAGTCCCTACCCATCCATATATCTTATGTATCCAGTGTATCTGGGTGCTGGATGGGTAGGGACTTATGAGCCATCCTGCAGAGTCTCTTAGTTTCTAAACCTCAGTCCTCATTATATTACCTGCACACAAACCACATATAATTTGAGATAAGTTCACATAGCATACCCCTCTCTAATTTCTCCTACATATTCCTCCCACAGCTCTCCTCCATTTTTTTTGTCTTGCTTTCCTTCTTTTTCATACTCTCTCCCCCTCTAGCCCAGTGCTCATATCTATCATTTTCTATCTCTATCCTTCTACATTGTTCTCCCTCTCCTGTCTTTCATGTGTTCATCCTTATTTGAATGCCCCCACCAATTGTAAAAGTTTGTCTTGCATTGCGTGTTTCCATTGTCTTGCTGTTCCCTCTGTTTCACTGCTCCCCCTTCCCTCTCTCCTGTATTCTCAAACTCCCCCTTGATTTTTAGTGTTTATACTGCTTTATGTAATTTCTTCCATATTCTCTCCCATCCTTTACACTTCACTTACTTTACTTTACTGGGTACCATCAACCAATGTCATTTTACAAAAATAGTGTTGTAGATGCATGAGAGAGCCTACCAGAGGCTGGTAGAGACTAATACTACAGTAAAGGGTATAGTAGCTTGGGACAAAGGCAATTCTGGCCTGAGCGGGAAATAAAAGAAATAATAAAGACATATAAATAATGAAGCTTGGTCAGATGTTTTTAAGTAAGTTTTCTCTAGGTGAGATAAAAAAAGGTAAACATGGTTTTCTGTGTGAAACTCTACATGTAACGATAAACATACATTGCTAGTCACACTATTGTCTGTTTTCGAAAATGCAGTTCAGCATTTCTTTTAAGTGAAACTTTTTTTTCTATAGTTTTCTTCAGAATTTATATATTCTTTTATGTGTGCATGGCCTGGCAATCAGCTGTCGAGCGTGGAGCCTCAGGGCATACCCAATAAGTTTCCTGGTATGTTCATCCCCTCTGGGAATCTGAGCAGTAGCTAAACTAAGCTAAAATCTAACATGGTGACAAGTACACAAAGATACACAGAACCTCTATACTGTCACTAGCTTAATTCACTCAAGTGAGAGTTGTCAGAAATTTAAATTGAATTTTAAATTTAAAGTCAGAGTAGCTAAACTGGAAGCATACCTTGCTTGGAAAATGTATCCAGTTTGGCTATTTTGGCCTTACATTTTAAATTCACTTTCAAGTCTCGACAATTCTTACTCTAGTGACTACCCCAGTTAGCTGCACAGGGAGTATGTGTCAAGGTGTTTTTGTTAACTTTGTTCAATTGAATGTTAAATGCCAATATGTTATAATAAAAGAAAAGTCCATATTTAAAGGGACACTAAGTAACAAAGCCACTTTAGCTTAATCAAGTGGCAATGTCACCCTTGGGGGACTTTGCAAAATATGCAAAGACGCAGAAGTTGACAGAGTCGCTTTACAGGTCACTTGATATACGAACATCTAAAGTAAACATACTGTGCTGTAAGATCTGATTGAAAAAGAAACCATGTATTTTTTTTTTCATGGCAGCTGTCTGAGTTATAGTCAGTGGGGTGTGGGCTAGAACTGCATAAACAGAAACCAAAGGGATTTTACTTTCAAAGGCACTGCGTTGAGCACTGAGACTACAGGGGCATGATCTATACACAAAAACTGCTTCATTAAGCTAAAGTTGTTTTGGTGCTTAGTGTCCCTTTAATGCACCTTTGTTCTGATAAACACTAAGACTCACAAAGAAAATGTTGTCCTGCAAATTGGTAATTGTCAAAGCTGTTAGTTTAAAAAGATATTCACATTTGTATCCTCTCCACCAATATAATACAAACATGTATTCCAAACCCTATAGTGTTCTCCATATTTAGATCATAACCACACTCACCCCTTCCCTCAATTAAATTAAATAATTTAAAAGGTTTTTACTTACCTGTGAGGTGTTTATAATAATAATAATAACTAGTATTTATATAGCGCCTTTCTACCAATGGCACCCATACGCTTTTTTTTTTTTTTTGCAGTGCATAGAGATGTAACAAACGAGCATGTGGTACCCCAACAGCAATCCTCATGCTTTTCAAGAGACAGTTATAACAGTAGGGTACACGTAAATACTTGCACAATTTTATATTAAAAGTTAGACGTATGTTTGGTAATCCGGTTAGTCAACTTGGTATGGTTTAAACAGGCTCATACAAGTCGGGTACATGTTAAATGTTAGCTTAGTGTAGTTTATGAGTGTGCGTAATAAATTGCAGTACACATGTCAAGTTACAAGTAAAATACACAAGGGTTGTGCAGGGTAAGTCTAGTTAGAATGAGTAGCGTATAAGGTTAACCTGAGGCTCGGGAGATATTAGAGCATCCTGTGTTCTTGCTTTCTATGATACTGTACTTTTTGTAATAAAACAGGCTAAAACAATTTATATCATACAATGCGAAGGCAACAAGCGTTATCGAGGCATACTGGGTAGGCTGACATTAACATTGCAATATAAAATAGAATACTAGTGTAACACGTTAACCTTAAGTCTATTCTGTTGCTTAATATCTGCTGGGTACTGTGGTGCATGGAAATGGTTACTAGTGACGTTATAGGGCTTGTTTCTTGCACTGGTAGGGGTTGCAGCGGTAGTTAACCTCAGCAGCGTGGGAAACATGAGAGGGTTATCAGGCTATTAGTGCCCCTAGAGGTAATTAATGAGACAGCACACATTGTATATGATTCAGTTTGCAGGTGAAAATAATATTAGTAGCATAAGTGTCGCTGGAGCGGTTGCCTTTAGCTCACTCAGCTGATGCTCTGAGGGGAAAGGTGCAGTCCCTGGGTAATTGGATGCCAGCAAACTTGAGCAGGTCGCTACACTGAACCCTAGCCGCATTCTGTGTGCCGCCATGGTGCAGGTATAGGTGCGGGTGAGGGTGTCCCTCCAGCCCCAGGCTGTTGCATAGGCCGGCATTTCTGTGCCTCTAACTCTGTGACTGTTATTGAGGTAGTCCCGTGTGTTCCCGCGCTTTTTGCTCCCCATTTTTCTCTGCTGGTTGATGGTAGTTTGTACCTTGGGCTGCACGGTGTTGACAGCCGTTCTTGCCCTGGGGCAGGCTGTGATGATGGTCGGTTGGTGCTGGCTGGTCTCTGCTGCGTTCAACTAGTTTATGCTAGTGGGTCGCGCACATGGCTGACGTATTGCAGCCATCTTGAGGGGCACTGCCTGGTGAGCGTTTGGGCCCTGGTTGGAGCTGCGGTAGCTGTCGGTGGAGACCGGAATAACCCCCCAGGTCCAGAGGGGGGGCAAGTGAGACGCCGGTCGGAGACCCGGGAGAGCGGCCGGCTCAAGCTCGGGCCCTGTCAGGTTACTTTGGATGCCAGGTAGGGTCTTGGAAGGTATCCCCATGTACCCCAGCAGCTGGAGGTCGCTGTGGGCACCAGTATGGGTCAGTGGTTGGGTTTGGATCCTAGTTGGCACCGATCTTCAGGCCCTGATGCAGGAGCTCAGACAGAGCACGTCTGATCCTGTCGGCTGTCAAGTCCCACCCCCCAACGCAATGGGCTTTTCAGCACACGCTCTCGGAATTAACCAAATCGGCAGCCGAATAGTAATAGATGTTATTATTACCCAATTGATGGCACTCCTTTTATTTGAACAGGATTTGTAGTCCGGGAATGTACCAGCTGAGCTACCTCACCAACCTTCTTATCCAAATAAATGCTTCTCATAGGGAAGCATTGAATCCAATGCTTCCCTGTGATTAGCATTTGATGACGTTCAACTCTGAATTTTACATAACCGAAACTCAGTTGTTGCCATGGAAGCACCCTCTAGTGGTTGTCAGCCATTAGAAGTGTGTTTTGACCTGCAATCAAAACATAGATTATCTACTAAATGCAGGGTGACCAGATTTTGAAAATCAAAAACTGGGACACCTATAAGCAATACAAAAATCGCTAAAGAAAAAACAACAGAGAAATACATACACACTAGAAGTCTTTAACCTATTCCTGGCCAGAAATGGCTGTTACAGCTCATCCCCTTCCCAGTACGCAAATTAGTGTATTTTTATTTACATTTTGAAGGAGCATGATCAGAGCACACACATACCCTAGACCAGGGCCATCGTAACAGCATAATAGGCTCCCGGGCAAAGCAATGAACTGCCTACGCAACCACTCACAGTAAAAAAATTTTTAATTATCAGTAAAATTAAGCTTATATTTATTGGTACCTTCAACAAATACAATACATACATACACACACGGGGGGGGGGGGCAACAGGGCAATTCCCCCCTCACTCCCCCCTGAGAAAACAGAGCAGGTGGAGGCTCTCCCCTGCCAGCACATGCAGCACACACACAAGGGGGGTGGGGGGGGGGCAACAGGGCAATGTACACACACACATACTGATGAATATAGACACACACACACACACAGACTGCTGAATATACACACACACACACAGACTTCTGAATACATACACACAGGCTACTGAATCCAGACAGACTGCTGAATACACACACAGACTCCATGCACACACAGACTGCTGAATCCATGCACACACAGAAACTGCCAAATATACACACACACAGATTGCTGAATAAACATACACAGACTGCTGAATACACACACATGGACAGCTGAATACATACCAACTGTTGAATATATACAGACTGATGAACAGACACAGACTGAGGGGTTTAGGGGGGTGCAGTGTATATAGAGGTTCAGTGTGTGGGGGTGCAGTGTGTGTGTGTGTGGAGGGGGTGTAGTGTGTGTGTTTGTGGGGTCAGTGTGTGTGGGGGGAGTCAGTGTGGGGGGGGGTGTTTAAGGGTTCAGTGTTTGTGTGGTGCTGTGTGTTTAGGGGTGCTGTGTGTGTGTTTGGAGAGGGTGCTGTGAATGGGGAGGGGGTGCAGTAGGGAGAAATATGGGAGAAAATGTACATATATATATATATTTTTTTTTATTTTATTTTTTAAATAAAGCTTTATATTACTTCCCCCTCCTTCTTACCTTTGGCCAGGGAGGATGAGGGGACATTTCAATTCCTGGCTGCAGGCTTATTACTCTCTCCTCCTCTATGCAGGCGGTCTACTTTCTCCGGACTCCGGGATATATCGCAGAAAACTCCCTGAGGGGTTTTGGCATAAAATTAGGGATTATTCTACCTTCCGTAACCAAATAATCAAATTGTTATTAGACAGGAGGTGATTATTTTCCCACCCTTTCTGTCTTGTTCCCACTCTATCATATGGGGGTTGGTATGGTTGTTTTACATGCTCTGTTTTAGTACTATTTATTCTGGTTATGATATAGTTTATATTAAATAGCCCAAACTCACATTTTTTTGGGACTGTTTTCGGTTTACATGGTCGACTACATACCATCTCGTTTGGGCTGTTTCTGATTTACACGGTTGACTACAAATTATTCGGCTGCATCAAAATAAGCGATTGGGAGGAGTCTTACAGCCATAGATTAATATCTATATGTATTCTGATTGGTTGATTCTGATTACAATTTCTAACTTTCTTTGCTGCTTGGAGGTGTTTATTAAAGAAGGTTAAAGCAAATATTTGCCTCCTGTCTAAATTTAGATTATTTGGTCACTGAAGCTAGAATAATGAATAATTATTTCATCTAAATAGGATACTTAAGTTTTGCTCTAAATTTAAATTTCAGTTCTATAAATCTGTTCTGCAATACATAATCCCACAGGTCACAGCCTACAGATTCACACCTAAAATGAAAGATCACCTCTTTGGCCATTTAAAATAATTTTACCTCTTGGGAAGTAAAGGAATGCAGAGTACGTAATATACCCACCATTGAAGTGCATCACCATGTTGATTGCTTTGCATAGCAAGGACCAGTTGGTAGGATCAATACATGGGGTTTCATGGACCAGTGCTGACACGTCAGTAAGCTAAAATAGGGATCATAAAGATGAGTTACAGGTTAGACTAAGAAAGAGAATTCGCCACAGAATACAGATATCCATTGCATGTATTTCATATGTAGCTTTTACTATACGTCAGGTACAGTGGCGGCTCTAGATTTGTGAGGCCTTAGGCAACACTCAAACATGAGGCCACCACTAACACCCAAAGTGAAAAAAAATAGGGATTGCATTGTGTGTGTATAAGGAGGTATAGTTACATTGGCGGACGGGCTTCAGCGCTGAATACAGAGAGCTAATCTCTGTATTAATCACTCAGAGGCTTGCTGTGTCGTGGCTCCCTGACTGTCTTTATCAAATAATTTGCGAGCTAAATTAATTAGCAATTATGCTAATCGTTTATACACGATTGAGGGGTACGAGTACATTGCCTGGCAGTCATGTACATATAAGTTGTGGTGTGAAGGGATTATTGGAAACAAAAATTAAATTAGAAAATTTGGTCAATTCATTTTTAAAATAATAAAGAAAACACATAAGAAAACCATGTCATAGACATTTTCCCCACATATTCTATAATACTGTCACATATAATACTGTCAATGTAGAATACATTATCCAATATAACATATGTGTTGCCACATGTACTGTAAATTATATATATGTTGCCACTTTACTTTTGCATTGCCCATACTATACCGCCCCCTCACATTGCAGCCTTAGACAAAAACACACTAATACATGCACCCATATACACACTGTGATACACGCATATGCATACACACACACTGATGCGCAGAAACACACACACATTGACAAAAACAAATATACTGTCACAATCTGTATCTAGCTGTGTGTATTTCTAAGTGTGTTTGGCATTGTCTACCTGCATATGTGCCTGAAAATGTGGGTCTGACTGAGAGTATTCTTGTGTGTAAATGTATGTCTGTGAGCATGTGTATGTTTGTGTCTGGGAATGTATGTGTGTGGGGTAGCTGCTTGTGCTGTGTTATGTGTATGGAGGCTGCCTGTGTCCCTTGTGCATTGTTTATGGCAAAGCTACATTTCATAACTGTGTGTTTGATGAATTTCTTCAGCTTGTAACTGAAAGGGTGAGTAAAGGGGTAACTGTGGCAAGGTGAGTAGGATAGGGCGAGGGGGGGAAATGAGACACGGAGGGGGGTGAGTGTGACAGACTGAGGGTGAAAATGGTTTGGTTGGGGGGATTATTATGACATGGTTGGAGGAGGGAGTGTGGCATGGTTGGGGAGGTGAGTATCACAGGCTTTAGGTAAATGTGGCATGAAAGGATTGGAGGAGGTTAATGTGACAAGACGAATGTGGCTTAGTCAGAGGGTGTTTTGCAGGGTTGGGGTAATTATGGTTGGAGGAGGGAGTGTGACAGAAAGAGGTGAGGTGAGTGTGATGAGGTTAATGGGGGGGGTTATTGTGACAGTGTGACAGGATTAGAGGCATTAATGTGACAGGGTGAGTGTGGCATGGTTTGGAGTGGAGAGTGTGACAGGGTTGCGGGTGAATGCTACGGTTGGAGGAGTTTAAGGGATTTATGTGATATAGTGAGTGTGGCAGGGTGAAGGGATGAGTGGAACAGAGTGATAGAAGATGACTGTGACAGGGTTAAGGCATTGGTGTGACAGAAGGAAGGTGAGTGTGACAGGATTGGGGGGTTAATGTGATAGGGTGAGTGTGGCAGAGCGAGGGCGGGTGAGTTTGGTATGGTTGGAGGGGGTGAGTGACAGGATTAGGAGGGGTTAATGTGAGGGTAGCTGGGATGATGGTGTTTGGGGATGATGGACAGTGTTTGGGGATGATGGTGTCTGTGTGTAGGGAGGGTGATGGAGTGACAGTGTGTGTGGGGGATAATGGGGTGACACTGTGTGTGGGGGGTGATGGGGTGACAGTGTGGGGATGATGGGGTAACAGTGTGTGTATGTGTAGGGGGGTGATAGGATGACAGAGTGTGTGTGTTGGGTGGGTGAGGGATGACAGTGTGTGTCTGCCTCTGTGTGGGTTCTGACAGTGTGGGACAAAAAGTGACAATACAGTTTGTGGGGATGCTGTATGTCACTAACCAGCCTCCCCACACTTACTTTTTTTTTAAAAGTAATATATTCCCTGGAGGTCCAGTGGACTCTCTCCCTGGTGGTCCGTTGGCTTTGATCTCCTGTCTGCAGCTCCGCCGGGTGCAGACTTGCAGATATCGCGTCTTGCAAGATCCGGAAATGTCAGAACATTGCCGTGGTAACTCGCATCTACACTCTGATTGCCAAGAGATCGCAAAATACTAACTAAACAGTCTGCAGCTCTACTGGTGCAATGGGCACTCTCTCCCAGAGCAGACTGGTTGGAGGGACCTCACACCGAGCGGCATACAAAGCAAGCCGCCGGGTCCCCTCCCTGTGTCGAAGGCCCAACATACTAGTCTGCCCTATGGCAATTTAGGCGGCAGCAAGACTCCAATCAGCATGATACAGGTGCACATAGTTATTGATGTCAAAGGAGTCCAAGTGGCCGAGTTACATTTACAAGACAGACAATATTTCCCTCACATCCCCTTTCCCATCTTTCGTTTTAATCACTGTGGTTCACGTATTATTCTGTATGAATTGCCATATCACACTGATGATGAGTTTATTTTTTCAAACTCCTGTGTACTGAATATTGTCAACATGGTTTAATACTTGAAATATATATAGAAGGCACAAGAGACCGGAGGGTAGGAAAGGAAAAACCTACCCACCTCCCGTCTCTCGAGTAAATACGGTCACCTAGACTGGGTAATAGGGGGTAACCCAAAAGATAATATATTAAAGAAAAAATATATATCCAAAAAGCTACCTTAGTAGAAGGTAGCCAATAGGAAAGGAACCCAGTCCAATCTCAGTAGTAAGTGTAAAAAATAACAAAAAAACTAAACTTTATTAGAATAAAAGTAAAAACCTAGGGCTAAACAGAAATATCTAGAATCTGATGTGGAGAGAGGTATGACATGCTAAAAGGCTAATAAA